TTTTTTTTTTTTTTTTTTTTTGCTGAAAACAAATGGCGCGTGAAGAGGGGGCCAGGCCCCTCCTGGCACCGGGTTCGGCTCCTGAGCGGCTGCCGCTGCTGCCGGGCACTTGTCAGCCACCAGCCTCCGTGTCCGCGTTGCCAGCGGCCCCTCCAGCCTGGGAACGTGAGCTCCCCGTGGGCGCCGCACGAGCAGGGGAGCAGCTCCTGCATCGCTCCCTTCCTCTCCTGCTTTCCTTCTCTCAGACCACTGGCGACATCAGGTCGTCCCCAGGGATGTCTCCCGGGCTCCCTGCGGCCCCCCAGGCTCACCATGGCCCCCAGGCTCACCTTGACCCCCAAGGCTCACCTCGGCCCCCAGGCTCACCTCGGCCCCCAGGCTCACCTTGACCCCCCCAGGTTCACTGTGGGCCCCCAGGCTCACCTCACCTCGGCCCCCAGCCTCACCTTGACCCCCCAGGCTCACCTCGGCTCCCAGGCTCACCTTGACCCCCCCAGGCTCACTGCGGGCCCCCAGGCTCACTGTTTCCCAGGTTCACTGTTCCCCAGGCTCACCATGGCCTCCAGGCTCACCTCGCCCCCTTGGCTCACCTTGACCCCCCCAGGTTCACTGTGGGCCCCCAGGCTCACCTCAGTCCCCAGGCTCACCTCGCTCCCCTCCCCAGGCTCACTGCAGCCCCTCCAACCTCCACTCCCTGTCCTCTCTTTCTCATCCGTGACTCTGTGTCCCCCCAGTAGCCTCCCTGCCGGGACCCCAGGGTGTTCCATGCCCCCAATTCTTGGCCTCCAGGAAGCACTCAGCCCATGCCTTTGAGTCCCCACGTGGCTGCCTGTGGGGACGATGTGCGGTCCATTGCCCTCAGCAGTGGCCATCAGACGGCCAGCAGGCTCGGCCAGTGGTGATGTAACATCTGCTAAAGGGAGCTGTGTGTCCAGCCGCTCAGGCTGGGAGGGGAGGGGTCACCGAACAGACACATCTCCTGGGATCTCAGCGGAACCAGCACGGGGTGGGGGCCGGGCCCCTCCCTGCCACCTTACCTGCCGCCAGGTGTTCCCGCAGTCGGACGTGATGTACATTTCTTCCTTATATTCCACCAGCTGGGAGCCCAGGTTACCTGGTTGGGAAAGAAAGGGGTAGGTTGTTTGAGGAGCAACCAGCTTCCCCCTTACCAAGGTCTGAGTCAGACAAGTCCCTGGAAAGGGGCACCTGTGCCTGGTCTACACCTCCCACGAGCAGAGACACCCAACAGCATGCCCTGTCTGACAGTGACAGGCCTGCTGTCACTGCTTCGCTTGGACCCTGATCCCAGTTTGTGTGTTAAAGGGTTAACCTTGCCCAGAGAAAGCCAGTCTCAGCGGCTCCAGCCTGACCCAGGTACAGAGTGCTGGGCACTTCAGGGGACCTGCGGGTGATGAGTCTGGTTCCAGATTAAGACATGTAGCGTGGTGGTCGAGAACAGGTTTGAGAGGACACATCCATCCATCCACCCACTCACCCATCCATCCATCACCCATCTATCCATCCATCACCCACCCATCCATCCATCAGCCATCCATCCAGCCATCCATCACCCATCCATCCATCCATCATCCATCCATCCATCCATCACCCATCCATCCATCCATCATCCATCCATCCATCCATCCATCCATCCATCCATCCATCCATCCATCCATCATCCATCCATCCATTACCCATCCATCATCCATCCATCCATCCATCACCCATCCATCCATCCATCCATCCATCATCCATCACCCATCCATCCATCACCCCACCCATCCATCCATCACCCATCCATCCATCCATCTCCCACCTTCCCACTCAGCCAACATGTATCATGTGCCCACTCTGGGCCATGCATTCACCCCCCCATTTTTCCATGACAGCTGAGCTTCCTGGAGATGTCATTGCCCCTCAATATACACACCATTATCCAGGCCCATAGCCAGCAAGTTTCACCCTTGAGAACAGAGCTTCCCTCAGGCAGCCTCTTACCTGCTCCCATGATGAGGCCTGGGGCAGTGTCCTTGGTGTGCACAGTGCCTGACACGTAGGGGTTGTCTGCCCAGAGCAGGTGCAGGTGGAGGTGGCAGTCGGGCTACAAGGAGAGGACAGGAAGCCACAGTTAGCACGTGGGTGGGAAATTGCTGGGTGTCTCTGAGCCTCGGTGCCTTTCTCTGGGAAAGGGGCAGTAACCTCCTCACAGCATCACCGATCAACACAGCACAGCCTCCAGGGACGGTCGGGGTCCAGTGTCCCCCAGACAAGGTTCTGCCTAAACTTCTTACCGATAAGAAAAGTAATCATTTCCTTGGCCCTCTCTTTTTTTCTTTTTCTGAAAACATCTCCAGTTTAGAAATACCACAGGACTGAGCACCCAGAGATCCAAACTGGAACTTCAGAAGTGCCGCTAATTTTATGGGAAACTTGGGCCTGGGTTTCCTCATGTGTGAAACGGGGACAGCAGTGCCTGTCCCCCCCCTCACAGGGCATGAAGGACAAGCGGGGTCGGTCCAGATCCCATTGTCTTTACTGCGTTACACCGCGGACTAAAACCCATCCCAGAGCTGTCCCTTCTCATTTTATGTTTTTATAGCGCTTTCTTCTGGTCCATGAACCGAGTCCATTTTAGACAGATTTTCCTAAGTTAAAAACGAAACTGTTTCATAAATTGGATATTGATCCGGGTCAGCCGGAGCCGGGGGCTGGGAGGGAGGAGGGCAGGGAAGGGGGCAGCCCCAGGGCCTGATCCGGTTGGAGATGAGCTTTATTGTCTGTTCCCAGGTCTAAAAATGTGCTGGCTGCACCCCACGTGTGTGGGATGTCGGAGCAGGGGGCCTGCACAGAGAGAGACGAGCCATCGCCAGGGGCGGGGGCGGGACAGGGAGACAGCGGTGACAGGGGGACAGCGGTGACAGGGGGACAGCGGTGACAGGGGGACAGCGGTGATGGGGAGAAAGGATACAGAGGTACTTTAGGGGGGACGTGGTGGACTGTGGTCACGGGTGACAACTCCACGAAGGCACTAAAAACCACTGAACTGGACACTGAACTGGGCGAATCGCATGGGATGCGAGTTGTGTCGCAATAAAGCTGTGAACACAAAGGAAGAAATAAAAGGCGGCGAGTTCGGCTGGAAGGAGGCTCCGCCCAAATGCAGAGGCGCCCGCGGAGGGCTGCAGACCCTCTGTGGGGAAGACGGGGGACCCTGGCCGGGGGGCCTGGTCACCCCGGGGACAGCCCCGTGGGAGCCTGATGGGGAGCCACGGCTCCTTCTGAATTTCTCCCGAGTTCTCAGGAACGACAGGCAGGCTGCGGAGTTAATTTTGGTGAGAACCTTCAGGCCTCTCCCCCGGCAGCCGACACCTGCTCCTCGACTCAGCCCAAGTCTGAGGAGGTGCCACGCGCTGCAAAACAAACGGGTTTCCACTCTGCAGAGAGACGCAGACAGACTCAAAATCACCCCCAAGCACAACCCGTCACCCTAAAGCAGGTCTGATCGCTCCCTCAACGGCTTAAAAAGGCCCCTCGTGTCCCCATCAGCAAAGGAAATCTCCCAGCAGAGCCAGTCAGCGGCCAGGAAAGTACTGGTGACCCGGAGCGAAGGGGAAACGCCAGACGGGGACATCGAGCGCGTGTCAGGACCCGAGGACGGCCTTCTAACCTGCATATGAGCTAAAACCGGTCAAGCGCCCGACCCTTGCTATGTCTGGGTGACACACTGACTGTGGGACCTCATCTCTCTCTTTACGCGTTTCTGTTTTTTCCAGTTTTCTCCAATTAGCAGGAACCCCTTTTATGATGAGAACTAGGCCCTCACGTGGGGTTCGCCCTGCTCACCGCGGGATGCATGGCTGGGTAAGGACACGGCCCGAGAAGGCGGTGGCCATGCTGGTCGCCCTGGCCCCCTCCCTCCCCGGCCCCCAGAGGGGAACCACACGGAGGGGGACCGTCTCCAAGCCACGGCTGCAACGGGTGCCTTTCATGCCCACGGGGCTCCCGCACCTTGTCCTCTGCTCTGCTCACCGGGGTCTCGCCGGGCTGCCTGGGCCACACACGGCCCACCTGGCTGCTACCTGGACTATTTTAAGGCCGAGACATAAATCTCTCAAAGGTTATGTCCTTACTGAGCTGATCACTGAAGACAAGACTCTATTCTTAGAGAAAACTTGCTTTGAGGGATTAATAGGGCTTAACATTGCCGACGATGCTACAGAAACGAGCCCTCTCCCAGTGACTGTTCTCGGAAGTAGGTCGACGGCTGCTATTATTCTCCATTCTCATCAGGAGACGGGCTCAGGCAGAGGGAGCGACAGGCCCCTGGCTGGGGGGTCAGCCCAGGTCGGCAAGGGGTGTCCCTGCCCAGGGGGCGAGGCTTCCACAGAGCCCACATGGGGCCAGCATTCCCTCTTGGGAAGGAAGGAGGAGCTGATTCTGTCTGGATCGTTCCCGCACAATGGTCCTGGGGCCCCGAAAAACAGGCACTGTTACTCTCTTTACAGAGCGGCGGGTGGGCTCTGGCATCCCCAGAGCATATCCTTGCCTGGGAGGGGCTTTGCGGCCAGAGAAACAGGCAGAGAAGCGAGTATGACCCATGAAGGCTTCTCAGTGGAGGGAACATCTGGGCAGGGTTTTCAGGCGTCAGTAGGAGTTTGCTATGGGACAGCGTGGGGAAGGGGGCAGCGTGAGGGAGGGATTTGCTTGCCCCCGCCTGCCTGCTCTGTGCCAGGTCTGTGTGTTTCATTCATTCTCACCACATGCCACCTTCCTTCCTTTTCAACAAAGCCTCGGAGCACCGACTGGCCTGGCCGAGCTCACATAGTCACTGGGGACCTGAGACGGCAGCTCTGTGCAGCTCCAGCTGTGGGCCCTGCTCCCACTCTGGGTGGCCCCCGCTGGGGAAAGGCCAGGGATGCCGGTGGTGATGAGTTTCGGGGAGCAAGGAGAGGCGGGCCCCATGGGGCCCGAGCAGCCTGCCTCAGGCCAGGCACATGTGGTCCCTTCAGCCTCTTTCCCCCTCACACCTGCTGCTCCCTGAGTGCCCACCTCAGGCCAGGGTCCCTTAGGGCTGTGTTTCTATCCTCACAGGCCCTGGCCTGCGTGCCACCCAGATCTCCTGGTGCCCAAGCAAGGGTTCCGGGGAAATCCAGCACTCCCCGCCCCCAAGGCAGCCCGACACTGGGCAGCCTACACTTCTACTCATTACAAGGGCACCCCGGGTGGGGCTCAACTTGTGGCATCTGGGCTATGGCCCCGCACCCCCACCTCCAGGCAGAGTGCACTCCTGGCCCTCGACGTCGCCAGTGGGATTTGAGAGATGGAACTCAGCAGGCTTGCCAAGGGCTGCCAGCTTCGGCTCACCCTCTGCTATGGCCCTGAGACCGTCCCTGGGCTGTCCTAGGAGGGGGATGCCAGGCGACGGAGCAGATCCCCCAGATCAGCCCGCCCCTAGGTGTGTGACCAGGTGCCCGGTTGAGCCCAGACACAGGTCTGGAGGACCCCGAGTGCTGTTTGGGGGTTTGCTACACGGAGATGTTGTGGCAGGAGCTCACGGCCACACGTCTCCCTCTCTGGCCTCCTCTTAATTCCTGTGAGGCAGGGAGTTCCCGTGATCCCGTCCACCGCGCCCGGCGACATGGGCGGTCCCCATCTCTCAGATGGCCCCTCTCAGATGTCACCATCTTTACCTTCAGGTCCCTTCAGCAACGCCGCGCGCCCCACCCACAGCGCGTGCTGGAGACACTCACGGGCTTGCAGTTGGTCGGCTTTCCGTTCATGTCCACGCTGGGCGCCCGCAGGTAATCCCAGTCGCGGCCCTTGTTGTAGGTTATAAGCGTCATCACCTTCCCATTGACTTTCTGGTTGGCCAGGAAGACTCCTTTCACCCCGTGCACCTGCCACAGAGGCACAAAAGGATTGTGGAGACCCGTCCGGAGCCCTGTCCGGAGCCCTCCGATGGCCGGGCGTCCCCATGCTCCAGGCCCTCGCCAAGAGCTCTGTGCACACGGCCTATCCGCCCCGACGACAGCCCTGGAGCCGGGGCTGACTTTGCAATGGCTGTGTCCCAACGTGGCCACAGCCACTTGCTGGAAGGCCCCGGGATCCATATTTATTTTTTATTTTTCTTTATTTTCTAAAATATCTTTTTAATTTCAGAGAGAGGAAAGGAGAGGGAGAGAAAAACATCAATGATGAGAGTCACTGATCAGCTGCCTCCTGCAGGCCCCTCCTGGGGATCGAGCCAGGCATGTGCCCTGACTGGGAATCGAACTGTGACCTCCCGGTTCAAGGGTCGACACTCAACCGCTGAGCCACGCTGGCCGGGCCAGGGCTCCACATTTAGAAGGAGAGAGAGGAGCTAAAGGGGTCAAGGGAGAGAGACAGAGAGAGTGAGAAGGAGCCAGACAGACATCAGATACTCAGACAGAGGGAGAGGGAAGGGAGACCCGGGCAGGGGAGAGGCTGGGAGGGAGAACATGAGCAGCAGCTGCTCAGAGGGCCCGAGGCAGAGTGGGGGGCACAGCCTCTGTCCCTGGGGCCAACCCCGGCCTCGGCCGGGCTCTGAGCAGGTCATGGGAGCCCGAACGGCTTCACAGATGATCCCTTGTGGTCCAGTGGGTAACAGGGACCACCGACGCCAAACCCCAGTTCAGCAAAATGTCACCCCCCCTGCGAATCCCATTCTTCTTGTTGGTAGACCTGAGTCACAAAAACTGTCCTCGCCACATTTCAAATTCCATCAGAAGGAATAAGTCCCTCTTGCCCTAAAAGCACCTGCATAGCACCCCCTTGGACGGCCACACCCCTCAAATATTTGATCCTTTAGGGAATATTTGCAGGACTGTGAGGCATCGC